CCGCCCGCCCCGCATCCTCAGGCCTCCTGCAGACCCGCGCCCCCGGAGCGGGAAGCCTGCGCGTCCCCGACTGCAGGCGGGGGAGGGGCGCGGGCTCGGGCGCGCGGACAGCCGTCGGCCTCTGCGGTTGCAGCTGTCAGAGCCGCTCTGCAGACCTGCATGACTCCTCAGTCTAAAATGTCTTGTTGCAAACTCTGTTTCAGGCTTATGCCAAGTTCTCTGGCGCACCCTTGAAAGTCAATGTCATAGATAAGACCTGGAGAGGTTCAAGAGGTACAGTATAAGCTTCCACAGGCCCCTTTCTGCCCATTGAACACTGGCACCCCTTCTTGTATTTAAAGCCATGGGTATATAGCCCTAGAGTACTTCGGCCGCTTTAGCTTCTTAGAATGACCTTGGCTGCGCGTTGGCTGTGAATAGATCACTCTGAGTAATAACTCAAAGTGCAAGCCAAATCTGTGGAAAATAGGAAAAACGAAAATGCTCTCCAGAACTGCCCCTTGTGAAACTACAAAAAAAAAAAAAGAAAAAAAAGAAAAGAAAAGATGCAAACGTTCTTAACACATGCTCTCCCAGGTACAATTGATATCGTTTTAAGGTATTGTAATCTTCAGAATAAATTATAACTGTTTTTGATTATAGGTGATGTACCAATTTTGACAACTGAAGACAACATTGTTTCCCAGCCTGCAAAAATACTAAACTTTTTAAGAAAACAGGTGGGTTGCTCCTTTTGAAGAAGTAGATAGTTTACTGCAGTTATACTCACATGTACCCTGGCTGCCAGTTTGCAGTACAGACTGGCATCAAATGCTAGGGTTATAGGTGTGACACATTTCACCTGGCATCCTGTTTGGCTTTTTGTTTGTTTGTTTGGTTTGGGTTTGATTTTTTTGTTGTTTTTTGTTTTTGTTTTTGTTTTTTGTCTTTTCAAGACAGGGCTTCTCTGTGGCTTTGGAGGCTGTCCTGGAACTAGCTCTTTCAGACCAGGCTGGTCTTGAACTCACAGAGATCCGCCTGCCTCTGCCTCCCGAGTGCTGGGATTGAAGGCATGCACAGCCACTGGGCTGGCTTGTATTTTTAATTCATTTTAAGGTGGTTTTATTTTTTTCAATTCATTGGGCAATTGGGAATGCCTATGTTTTGACAACAGAGAAACAAAGACTTGCTTACCAGTGACATAAAACCTGCATTTTACTGTGATTCGGAAGTCATAATGAAGTATATGCAATGTATATTTTTGCGAATTTATTGAAATAGATGTAAGAAGAGTCAGTTTAATTATTCAAGATTATTCTTGTTGATAGCATTACCACTTTAGTCCCATTGTTGCTATTCATGTCATGCTAATTGTGACACCTGAGTTCCCACCAAATTGTAGCTATTTTATTTTTGTACTGGAAATGGAATCTGGGGCCTGGTGACTGGTAGGCAATCACACTACTAGTGAGTTGTATTCCCCAGCTTTGTGTTTTACTTTTTAAAAACCACTTACCTAATAGTTATATGCTTTATGAAATCATGTACCTAAAATGTGTGAAAGTGTAAATATTTATGTAGTAAATCCATGATGTTTAAACGTAAAGATTCATATAAACATGAAAGTTATAATTGGTTTGTCAGTACAATGGAAAAAACCCTGTACCATTAAAATTTAAGTATATTCTAAGTTGAAGAGTTTCTTTTTTTATGGAGAAAAACATTAGGAAGGAACTGCATGTTTTTTTCCTTTCTTGTTAAAAAAAAATTTGTTTTTACTTGGTGACTCTAACATGTGCCACACTCTGAACAAAGGTCATTAATGAGCATCTAAACCATAAAAGTCAGCTGACATGCTGTAAGCAGCACTTGTTCACTTTGTGAATGGTGTAGCTCTCAGAACCCTCTTTCATTAACAGTATTCATTGGGTTTGTGTCAGGTTTGTGACATTTGTCAGGGAGAATCAGAGTTGTAATTTGCTTGGCTTCCTTGTCCTTGGGATGTTCTCTGACCTCTGACAGGTTTTGTTTTGGTTTTGAGTAGAAATACAATGCTGACTGTGAACTCTCAGCAAAACAAGGGGCAGACACCCTGGCATACATTGCCCTCCTGGAAGAGAAACTTCTCCCTGCAGTGGTGAGTGTTTCTGAATACTGCAGTATTGTAGTGATTTAGTGACAATGTTGTAGTCTGGTTAGAAAGAACGGAAAAGGGGGGGGGTCTTAAAGAGGAAATTTCCTGTATTAGTCTTACCTTTTATATTATGACAAAAGTGGATTCTCTTAGACTTATCCATTGAAGTGGATAGTCTGGTTTGTTTGCTTGCTTGCTTGGCTAGGGAAACATCTTACCACTGAGTTCCACTCTAGCACAATAATACTGTTTTTGAAATGAACCCTACCAATAGAAGAATAAACTTTGTTTCATCTATAGAATTTGGTATATTGTAGTTCATTCAGTCAGTGAATATTTATTGAGCACTTAGTATGTGCTAGGCTCTATTTTGGGTGCTGAGATATAGCAGTCAACAAAATTCATGGGTTTAAAGTAATCTCATTTTACCTTGAGTCGTTTTTTTATGTGGAAAATTTAAATAGTTACCTTGTTCAAAGACATTTATGAAAAAACTGTCACATTGATTGAGTGATGTTTATTTTAGCAGAACATTCCTGTAATTGTTTTACCTTCCTTTGTCAGCTTCATACTTTCTGGGTTGAGAATGACAATTATTTTACTGTGACAAAGCCGTGGTTTGCCTCCCGTATCCCCTTCCCTCTAAGTTTAATCTTGCCTGGAAGGATGTCTAGAGGAGCTCTGAATAGAATTCTCTTGACAAGGGGAGAACCGCCCCTCTACCACGTCAATGAAGTGGAAGCAAAGGTATGAGATTCTCCCAGCAAGCACCAGGGAAGGGAGAGGAGAGGGGACTGGACAGGTGGCCTTACCTAGAGATGCTACCTCCAGAGTATCTTTCATCCTTTTTAGATATACAGAGATGCCAAGGAGTGCCTAAATCTCCTGTCAAACAGACTGGGAACATCTCAGTTTTTCTTTGGTGACACGTGAGTAAATTCCATTAAAAGTCATTTTGCTATAAGTCACCTTTTTTGATAGTTCCCACCAGTATATTTGAAAAGTGTTTGACAGGCTTTCTTTGTCCTGTTTCTATAAAAACTTCATAAACTGCTGTCGGGAATACACTATTTGGAGTGACCTAAATCTATAGCCCTGGGCCACGTCCACTCCTATTTGGCTCTAGAATAAGCTAGCTCTTATCCCTTAAAAAAAAAAAAAAAAAAAAAAAAAAGTCAGGGCCAGTGTTTCTGCTGCCAAAGATTAGAGCCCCTCCCCAATAGCCACTGGGCTTCCTCCTCAGGCATGTCCATGTTTGCCACTACACTAATCAAGAAGCCACTGGGGGGTTGGAGAGATGGCTCAGAGGTTAAGAGCACTGACTGCTCTTCCAGAGGTCCTGAGTTCAATTCCCAGAAACCACATGGTGGCTCACAACCATCTATAATGAGATCTGGTGCCTTCTTCCGGCCTGCAGGCATACATGCAAGCAGAACATTGTATACATAATAAATAAAGAAATCTTAAAAAAAAAAAAGAAGAAGAAGCCACTGGCCCCTGCTGTGTGTATTGCATGCACGCTGCCACACCCTTCTTGATGAGCACCTTGAAAGAAGTCATCCAGCCATTTCTCAGTCCCAGGGCTGGTGCTTTTTTGGATGTGTGTGGACTGTTGATATTTAATGTATACATATAATTTATCATTTGTCTTGTGTAAACAAGAGTCATTTTGATATGTTGTATGGGTATATTCAGTGAATTGTGAGTTAAAGATGGTTCTCCTGGCCCCCAAAAGATCAGGTTTTTACTTCAGAAGGGAACCTGGGGTATAGTTGCATGACAGAGCTCTCAGATGGCACTCTCGAGGCCCCAGGTTCAATTCTTAGCTCAGTATTTACTCAGCTTTTGGACGAGATTTTTTTCTGTTGGCATTAATCTTACATTAGATTAGTGTGCTACATAGTGGCTGTGAAAGTATCAAACATTATTCCCACCCTGCTTCCAGCCCATAACATTTGTAGTTTACAACCTTAATTTCTTCTGAATAAAGTAAATGGCTAACTATTTTTAAAACTACTTAGAAGGTAAAACCCTGTCTGCCTCACTTTTGGAAACAAAAATGGTAATAAGCCATTCAAAACATGATGTTGACTATTAGACTTGACAGATAGTTTGAAGAGCATTTTTAAAATACTGTCCAAGTCGTCTTCTCTTAAGTGCTTTTGATGGAGAGTTCTTTGTTTGCAGGCCTTCCACCTTGGATGCCTACGTCTTTGGTTTCCTTGCACCTCTTTATAAAGTGCATTTCCCCAAAGTTCACTTACAAGAGCATCTGAAACAGCTTTCCAACCTGTGCCGACTCTGCGATGACATCCTAAACAGCTACTTTAGGCATGGGCCTGTGGGTAAGTCGGCTTTTCTTCAGCTAATGTTTATTCAGATTGGGTATTTTAATAGTCTCCTGGCAATGAAGAAGTAGAACAAGTCTGGTTCATAGCTTCAAGACCTGGTGGTTTGCCGGTTCCATCTGCTGCCGTGTTCTTATTTACCCGGAGAAAGCGCCATCTGACCCCCATCATCCTCTGGACTTCACGAGTTCCCTGTATCTTCTTTATAAGTATTGCCCCCCTTGAGTGAGTCCTCTTCTTCTAAAAGACTAAACCACGTGTGTTGAGTCCCCGATGAAAAGTAGTGTTTATCCTTGTGCAAATGGGCAGTTGCTTTAATTGATTCTTACCTGCTGCTTCCAGCATTTTCCTCCATGAACAGAAATCAGTAGCAGATTGACTTTGGTGAGGTACACTCCCATGATTCCACTACTTGAAAACTGATTGCACCAAAACTGGACATATAGTAAGTAGAGGGCTCTTGGCACTTAGGATGGAATTCTCTGTGACGGGGCGCCTTGTGCTTAAGGGACTGGGCACTAAGTTTATATTTGTAGAGGTAGCTGAAGCTGTCCTTTTAAGAAACAGAAGTTATGAGATAGCTGACTTAGGTAGACAGGCTTTTTTTTTTTTTTCTGGTGGATTATCTGTTTCACATATAGGGAAGTCTAGGAAATGGGAAGTTAGGGAACCAAGTAACATCCGACCTTGTCACTCTGGAGCAGTGGCTAGCAAACCTGACTACACAGCTCTCCCATACTTCCCAAATTAAGATGTCCCAGGATCAATCCCAGAAGGCTCTGCTTTTAGAAATCCCTTTAAATGTCTTGGGCGCCCGGTATCTGTTAGGGAATCTGTACCTTAGCAAGATGCCTGTAGCACTACAACTGATGACTTATGTAAGTGATTAGGAAGGCGGCAACATGACCCTGAGAGTACCGTGCCTTTACTAACCACTATAGCTGGCTGCATGTCCTGTGGCTCTGTCTTCTAAGAACACAATTCAGGGTTTTTCTGGTTTCCTGTGGAGCACTGCTGTCCCTCCTAACTTTACCCTAATTAAAACCCACATATGTTTTCTCTTTTCTGTTTTCTTTTGGGGAGAGAGGGTAGTTGGGAAGGTGGGTAAACTGAAAACTTTTTTTTTCAGTCTTAAACAGCTTGAAAGTCTTTCAAAGTTTCCTTTCTTTCCCTGGTTTCTCTTCTGATTTCTCAGGCATCTCTCCAGCTGGACAAGAAATGATAGACGCAAACCTGCAGAAACTCACACAACTTGTAAATAAGGAATCCAACTTAATTGAAAAGGTCGAGTTACTTTAATAATTTTCCTTTCTGTGGGAATGCTATTATTTGGGTTGTGTATTCACTCTACCCTCTTAGTTTTAAAGAGTTTACTTTTTTTTTTTTTTTTTTTGTAGCTTTGGAGCCTGTCCTGGCACTCGCTCTGGAGACCAGGGTGGCCTGGAACTCACAGAGATCCGCCCGCCTCTGCCTCCCGAGTGCTGGGATTAAAGGCGTGTGCCACCAATGCCCGGCGAGTTTACTTTTCAAAAGGCTGTTTATATATACTTTGAGTGGAGATTTATTTAATGTGGTGTTTTAAAGCCACCAGTGACCTGATTTCACTGAGGGAAATTTGAATAATTGTAGTGGGTCTACCTTTTGCCTTTTACTGTAGAGTTTGCATGTATCAAGTTGGATGACATAAAAATTACCTTTAAAGACAGCAAGTCAGAAGCAAGCCTTGCTTGCTGTCCTTGCTCTATCCTGAAATTGCTTTCTTCTGCTGGGTCTAAGCACTCATTCCCTTCTTCCTTGTCAGTAATATCTGGGCACACTCTATACTTTGCTCAGTCCAATACACATCCTATGAAGATGTGTGCAAAGTGCTCATGCGGTCACAGGAGCTCACTCATTTAATAGGAAGGCTATTTAACATAGTTTAATTTTTTGTTTGTTGTTGTTTTTTGAGATAAGGATTCTCTGTGTAACAGTCCTATTACAGTCCTGGCTCGATTTGTAGACCAGGCTGGCCTCAAACTCAGAGATTTGGTTACCTCTGCCTCCCAAGTGCTGGGATAAAAGGTGTACGCCACCACTCAGCTAGTTCCCGTTTTCTATATGTGTAGAATCCATGGCAGATATGGCGAGGAAACTATGAAATACCAACACAGACAGAAGGTAAATTAGGAGCCCAATCACTACTTTATACATGTCCACTTTGGGCCTTTTTCGGTTTATGAAAATCTTGTAAGGCCAGCAAGTGTTCATAGCTGCTCTTCCGTAGAAAGTGTGTGATAGTTGGTAAAACATAGTAGGGCAACTGCTCTTCTTAGTCACCATTCTTTACAATTTATAGCAAAAATCCAGAGCTTAAGAGACTGAATATGCTTGAGAAACAGTTCTTGCAGAAAAGTAAATGCTGCTTCTCTGGTCACACTTTTTTCCTATTTGAAAGTTTAGAATTAACCTTGTATTATCTGTCTTCAACAAACCATGCGCACTCGCGCACGCACACACACACTTTGCTAAAATGTTTCTTCCTTGCTCTGAAAGCATCTTGAGAAAACAAGGGGAGTTATAAATATTGTGCATTTATGCGGAGCTCTAAGAACATCATGTCTATTGGGTGAATGATAGGATGTTATTTTCTGTTGGTTTTGTGGTTTGATGGCAGTTGCTTTCAAGTTTTTTAAAAAGTGAACTTGATAGAGAACTCAACACCAGTATCCACATGTTGCACCTTCTGCAGTACTCTGGGGTGAAGGCGGGGTTTGGAGTAATCTACCCGAGTGTCCCAGGGGCACTAGTGTGCATCTCTGCACTTCTTGGACATTTTCTTAATATGCTTGTTTAATGGTTTCTCTAAGGTTGGCTTAGAAGTAACCAGTGTTTGAAAGACCTTGTCTTTCCCACAGTTTCCCCAGCATCCTTTGGCATTCTCTTTCAGTTTGGAGAAGAGTAGTTAAAAACAATTGTGTTAGAATAAAAAAACATGGTTCATGACACTGACTTTAGAACCTGGAACAGGGACTTGTCTTGTCTGAGCCTCATTTTGTCATCTCAGACAGGGTGGGACTGTGCCTGTTCTTCAGTGTGTGGGGAGGACAGGCAGAGCACATTTAGAGCTATCGTGCTTCCTCTTTCTTGTAGAAGGTGTCTTAAGTGAGTCTCTGATCATATTCTTTTTTTTTTTGTAGAACTTGTTATAATTTTGTGATGGGACAGGTATGAGTCACATTGCTTTTCATGGATAGTTAGTCAGTTGGTATTTGAGAACAACTATCAGAGAAATGTTTCTCCATCCATCCTGCAAACATCTAGTTCTGGTCCTTTCCAGGCTGTATGTAGTCTAGATGAGGCCACAGTCCACAAAAGAGGAGCCTCAGCCTTAGTCAGGTTTGTCTTTGTGCTTTCTACAGATGGATGACAATCTCCGCCAAAGCCCTCAGCTACTTCCTCGGAAGCTGCCAACCCTCAAACTGACTCCAGCAGAAGAAGAGAGTAATTCCTTCCAGAGGCTGTCACCCTGACAGTCGCAGCCTGTCACAGCCAAAGTCTTAAGATTGTTTGCAGTAGTTGCTTATACCGAGTGCACGGAGACCAAAAGAAAAAATGCTGTCATAGGTATAAGGAAGACTGTAAGGCAGAAGGATCCATATATGACTTTCTTTTTAAACTAGAGAAGCCTTTTTTTTTTCTTGGCAGTGCATTTGAAATAAA